TCATTGCTTAGACACCTGGCACCCAAATTTAGAGGACAAAAGGTTTATTTAGCTCACAGTTTGTGGAGATTTTGGTCCATAATCAGCTAGCTCCAAGGCAAAGCTTCATGGTGGAAGGGTAACAGTTCATGTTGGTAGAAGACAGCACAAGCGATGATAGCAAAAAAGGGGGGAAAGCCTCTTCTACTCCCTTATATTGTGAGCAGGCTATTTGTCTTCTCCTTATATTGGGAGCAGGTTATCTACATGGAGCAAGTGTAGTACCCACCTCATTGTGCTCGCCTCTTGCACAGGCTCAGAGTGTTTACAGAAAGAGGACTCTGGTCCCTTGCTAAGTCACTTAGTTAAACTTCTAAACTTCTCAAGTTGACACAGTGAACAATATCCTAGTGTAGTAAGAACATGTTCTCTACACCCTAGGATGTAAAACTGCTGAGTTACCTAATTAAGCTTCTAGATTTAAGTTGACACGATGAATCAACCATTAGGCATGGTGAGAATTTTTGCATCTTGTTTTTTAGAGAGATTCTATTTTTACTTTGGGTTGTTCTCTGGCTTGAGAATCAAGACCATACTGCTTTCCAAGACTGACTTCTGTCAGTACTTGTTCACTTTCACTTTCATTAAAAAGTGAGGAATAGTGGTGTTATATCTTCGCTGAAGTTCTTTTAGAATTCAGTTGGGACTCCATGAGGTTCTGGGCTTTTATTGGTGATGCTTTGTTGTTGTTACAGCTTTAATTTCATTACCTGTTGTTTGAGTACTCAAGAGTTTTATCTCTTTTTGATTATTTTAGGTCTCTTCATTTGTTCTGGACTTTCCAGTTATTTGACATATAAATTTGTGAAGTAGTTACTAGTAATATTGTACATTTTGGTGGTGTTCATTGTGATTTGCTCTTTTTATTTCTTTCCCTTTCTGTTGATTTGTGTCTTTCCTTTTTAATTTTTTAGGGTTTTTTTTTTTTTGAGCAAATTTGACTAAGGGTTGTTTAATGTTGTTTATTCTTTCAAAAAATTACTCTTTGTTTCATTTTTGTCTCTATTTCATTGATATCTGCTTTCCTATTTATAATTTGCTTCCTTTTTAAAACTCTACATTTTGATTTTTGTTTGCTTGTCTGTTTTTCTGAGGCCTTGAGATGCATTATCAAGTATTTACTTGGACTTGTTATGTTTTTCTGATGTGGGCATTTACTGCTATACACTTCCCTCACAGAAATGCTTCTGTTTTGTCCCATAAGTTCTGGTATGTTATATTGGTGCTGTCATTTAGTTCTGAAAACTTTCTTATTTATTCATTGTTTTTTGTTCGTGTGTGTGTGTGTGACACATGAGTTATTCAGGTGTGGGTTCTTTATTGCCATACTATTTTTCTGATGCTGCTTTTGCACTTCATTTCTAGTTTCACTGAACTGTGCTCTGCTAATATGCATGGGGTTATTTTCATTCTGGTTTTTTTTTTTTTTTTTTGCATTTACTTAAGCATGTTTAATTAGCTTGGATGTGGTCTATTGTAGAACATTACTATGTGCTGCCAAAAACAATGTGTATTCTGTGGCATGGAGTGTTTTCCATTTTTTTTTCTTATCATGGTATTTGGGGTTGTATATGCCTAATTTATCTGTATTTCAAATTCTTTTTCCACATTTGGAAAGTTTTCTGCTATTTTTTCAGTAAGCAGGTTTTTATGCTTTTGCACTGTCTTTCAATATTTAATTTCTTCCAATCACATTGGTTATTACAGATTTCAATACTTTCAATTTTGGATATCTGCTTAGACATTTGTAGCTATTCCCAGCCTTTTCTGTGGTGGGCATTCATATTTGTATCGTTTTTTATACCTCCCTTCAGTCATTTATTTCCTTACACCCATTATCTGTTTATATTTTCTTTGAATTAACCAAGTACCTTATTGAACCATTTTGTTATTTTAGTAGATATGTTGCTGTATGGCTTCCCTACCCCATGTCTTCTGGATTGGCTTTGAAGAAATGAGAAGATTTGGAGACATTTTGTGACCTTTTCTTTTTATATTTTTACTTTTTGTTTATTTTCTGTGCTGGGTTTTCCGCTTCCCTTGTCCAGTGACTGGTTCTTTGTGAATGTGCCACAGTGTTGTTTATAACTCCAAAATACTGGCTTACATAGAAAACCAACTGACAGCAACAATCTGACACGTTGTCAACAGTGATAAAGACAATAATTATGTGAAATATAAACTGTATATTGAAAAACTCTAAGAATTACTTATCGTTGACCCTTAAGCAGAGCAAGATGTCTGTGATTTTATTATAGACTCTTATGCAGCCCTGAAAATTTACCTAAATTATATCAGGATGTTAGTTTCTCCTGAATATAGACAAGGGTGCAAAAGCTTAAACAGAGCACTGGACTGAATCCCATTTTCATCAGATACACCCCTTCCGAAGGTTGTACCCATTAAATTTGGTCTCCTCCACTGATTAAAGTTTCCACGAACTTTATTTGTCTTAGCCTGATCTTCCCAGGTTCCATTATCTTTGTCTTAGCCTGAGATTCTAAGAAGACCTTTGTCAAATACTTCAACGCACTAAACCTATCCCCTCAAGGTTGTCTCTCACCTGGTCTCTGTGGAAAGGCAGTACTTTAGTCCTTGAGAGAAACGCTCAGCTACTGTGTTAGTCTTCTCCACAATCAGTTGATCTTTAGCTCATCACCTCTGCTTCCCTGTGCTAAGAACCAAAGTGCAAACTTGGCTACGAGTTATCAGTTAGGCCTCTAACCCCTCCCTGTCCCTCTCTCTAGGTCCTCTCCCTCTGCCAGGTGAAGGATGGAGAAGACAGGGTAAGACTTCTCCTCTGTAGTATGGGTCTCAGCACAGTTGTGCCAGTGGCAGTGGGGGTGTGTTTGTTGTCACAATTGTTAATCTAGATACAGGATGTGTTGCCTTTTCTGAAATTTGCAGATTTTTCCTAGTTTATCCTTGCATATTCGATTTCCTTCCAATGCTGCAGTAACACACATGCTCAGAGCTTCACAGAGGCATGAAGTTATTACCTAATATTTAACAGACGCTATTAATTTTTATTTGACATAGTAATAGAAAATATACTTTGGTCTTCATGGCATGGTGAGAACCAGGACATACAAAGACAAGAAAGATGGTGTCAGCTTCTCATGAGAAATGTTTAAAATATGCTCAAATCACATATCTACTAAATGCATCTCTATTATTTTTCCAGAGTTTTTGCTTCCAAAATAAAGTAACAATCAGTCTATAGCATCCAGGAGTTCTGACCTATGATTTTTTTGACTTTATTTTATTTTGGGTTAGCAATGATATTTAGGTTACAGTTTTTTTGGGTGAGGAAAATGACTATTTATAATTTTAGAAAATACTTAGCTTTTATGAATGCTAGTTTTAAGTCTATATCAGTAGTTTCATTCTTTTCACAGCAAAGAAAAATCTAGGAATTTATTCCCAGAAATAATGAAGGATACAAATATAGAAATATACATATATAAGTACATACAAATAATAAATCTTAATGGATAACATCTCAACAATAAGATTTAGACTAAATGGTATATGGCACAATTATATAAGTGTATAATTTATATATGTTGAACTTTCAGTAACATCATTTTTCACAATGTATTTTTCATGATTTTAAAGACCAGTGCAGTTTGATCAAATATATACAATGTGTATATATTGTATACATACATGGTTATATGTCTTGCATATATCTACATGGTTTTCATATATCTGGCTTAAAATTAAACACATTCTTAACTACACAGTAAATAATTCAGGGATATGGTCACAGTCAGTTTTACATGCTTCTATAGTTTTATATGCTTCCTAATTTTTTTCACATAGGAAAACAGTTAATATTTTAAAAGTTTTCAAATATAATCCATTTTGATATCATTTACCTTAAGTAAAAAAAATATAGATTTTATTGGAAAAAGCATCAAAATTACAAGCATAACAAACAAAATGAATTGGGAAATACAGTATTAAATTATTTGATCATATTCCCCTCTATGATAGATTTTAATAATCAATGAATGTAGCTGCCAGATTAGCCAACAATATCAATGGAGTTATTAGTTGTCAAAGGATGGCAAAGTTTAATGGGTTGGAGTACCACTTGTGAATCAGAATACATTGTATTGTAACTTGTAATTACACTTCATTGATGATTGGTTCATGTAACAAGGAATGCAGATAGATTTCAATAATGACATACTGTACAACTTCATTGTGAGGGAGGTCCTCCACAAATGAACAGAAACAAAACAAGAACTAGTTAACTAGAACCTAATTTCTTATAGTCCTAAAATTCACCAAATTCATTATCTCCATCATGTTTCAAGCCTTTCTAGAATGGGACACAATGCACAGAGAATGTGTGCTACCAAATGTCATATCTGTATCACTCATTACTGCTTCTTCTCCCCTAATGGCTTGCACAAAAGTTACTGCATTTTTTCTAATATGAATTCTGTGGTCATTGCAGGACAGACAATTCTTAAGGAGGTGAGTTGAGCCAACTTGTGCATCATAGGATGCTTAACCGCATCCTTGACCTTTATCCACTAAATGCCAGTAGCACCACTCCAGATTTATTAATCAAAATGTGTTCAGACATTGCCAAATGTCTACACTGGAAGTTACCATCAATTGAGAATCCCTGTGTTAATGCATAATGAAAGTTTGTAAATGTGCACTAATATAATATATAAGTTAGAAATGAGCGTGCGAATAAGGAAGTATCTTTTTTTACTGATGTGTCTATTCTTTCTGTATCTTACTTGTATTGCAAAATTGAAAGTTCATAATTATGCCATAATATATCTCTGTCGAGACTGTATAATTCTATCAAGTAGCTCCAGTCATTGGGCTAGTCCAAACTTACCTGATCCAGCCCGCGGATTGGTCCGTAGGCTTCACCTGGAGAGGGGACGGGGATGGAGGGCTAGGCAAGAGAAAAGAGAGACGAGGACAAGATGACCAATTCCAATCAAGTCCCATTTATTCAGGAAGTGTACATGGCTTATATAGAGTCAAAGGGGATATGGCTTTACAGGATGGGCTGGCTTGGATCTCCTCATATGCCATGGGCCTATCAGGCTAGCAGGAAGTCATAGGTAGACACATAGGTAAGTGGAAGTGATGTCAACAAGAGGGGATTGTGGGAGATGTAGGCTGAAGCGAGAAGGTGCTTACACCATTGCATTGTAGGCAAGGGGAGGATCATGGGAAATGTAGGCTGACACTCAAAATGCCCTCAGGTGGGAGGGGCAGGACAGTGGCAGCCATTCTGAGCCACTCCCTACACTTACCAATAGTAGTCGTGATATATTTTAACTCTCTTGAGTTCAAGATGGAATCTTGGTCAGTTTTCAATTCCTTTGGTGAGCTGAGTTCCACAGGACAGTACTTCAAAGCTACTTATCATTTTTCGACTGTCAAACATTCCAACTCTCTTAGTGTCAACACATGTAGATAGAAAATCTCACATGCTTCTGATACTTCCATTTCTCATCACACATGAAACTCTGTTATGTAAGAATCAAATAGGTTCTTCTGTTTGGAAATCATTAACTTCATTTTTAATGCATCAGTAAACTGTATGCAAGGCTATTTCATATACATGTATTATATTAACAACATGGTATTTGAAAACATTTTTGTTCAAATAGTATGTAATCCCATTGTTCCAGTGGAGAACACTATATTTCTAGTGAGAACACAAAACAAATTAAGCACAACTGGACATGAAAAGAACCCTTCTTACTTGGTGACACATCAGTGTTTGCTATGAATTGTCATTCATGAACTTCAAATTTAGGGTTTGGTATCTGTTTTCTGGCTACACAATACTGTGTTGTTTATTATACCAGTAATGGGACGTACCTATTTTTATTTTGGAAATATGATCTAAGGAGCAGGCAAGTCACACATTCCTTAAGTATCATTAATTACTTCTTTATTTTCTCTTTCCTTTATCATCATTATTTTTTTCATATAAAGTTATTGATGAGGGTGATGATGATGATGATGATGACGATGATGATAAAAGCTATCATGTTGTGAGCAGACACTATGTCTCAATAAAGGGACCTTAAAATATATCACATTGTGCACAGTAATAAAGATTAAGGATTCTGGAGTGAGTCTGTCTTAATAAAAGCAAAACAATTGTGGCAACAAAAATTAAGATAAAAAACATCCAAAAATTTGATTTTCCAAAAGAAAGCTCCTTTTTCGTGTCCCAGTTATTTTCTTTGCCAACTGAAATAATGGCGCTTCATAGTTTACTATGGGGATAAAAGTAGATTTATATACAATAAGTGCTCACAATACACACAAACACAGCAGCCTTCTAATAAAAAGTCACCATAAGGGCTGGGGATTTAGCTCAGTGGCATAAGCCCCTGCCTTGCAAGCAGACAGTCGTGAGTTCTATCCTTGGTACCGATAAAAAACGAAAAAAAAAAAAAAAAGTCACCATCTCCATAGTCTAATATATTTTCCCAAGAACCTTATAAAGTAATGTCTGATATGGTATTATCTTCAACTTATAGATACAATAATGGAAACTCAAAAAGTTTAATATTTTGCCCCAAGTTTCACTAGCCATCCTTTCTGATTCCAAAATCCATGCTTATTACCATTTTCTCATTGGTTCTACCAGTCTCTTCCCTTAAGACTCAATTAATTCAGTTTTCCTCAAGATAACTGTCATGTTTCCGCAGAGCTGTGCCTTTATTTCAGAATGAGCTCTCACAGCTACATTCACTACTCGGTTGCTTGATAGACCTCCAGCATTATCACTACCCCGATTGGTTAACTCTTAATATGTTCTGGATTCGCCAGGAACTCAATTATCACAGCATATCTTATCCAGATGGGCTCTGAACTTCCTGATATATTTATAGAGGAAAAGTGAAAACTACTATTTAATTTTTTTCCTCCAGAAATGTGATAAATAAATTTGTTAGAATAATTAGAAAAGATGATGCAAACATAGGAAATCTAAATAATGACTGTGTGATAATGTACAAGCCAGTTAAACTCTCTGAACTTTGGCTTCCTCATTCATCAAAAGAGGGGATTGAATAAGTGAGCTAAGACAATAAGCAATGGGTCACTGGAAGTCCCAATATATGCCTATGTGGAAGTGTCTTATGTGCACCTAATTGGAGAAGATGTTCAGTTTTGTGCTGTGCTGGATTAAATTGTACCACAAGGAGGAGAGCATGTAAACAGGGCTTACTGTGCTTATTTTCCTAACAAAATATCCCAAAGTGTGAGTATTCAGAGACTCGAGCTCTGCTGGCAATCAATAAAACATGAACGTATTTTTCTGAATGCATTTTCTTCATCCCCTTCAGGTTCCCTGTAATGAGGAGATAATGAGCTAGAGATATAGGCAGGGGTGCCCGAGAGCTTCTTCTAACATCCACTTTGTTAGAGCAACTTTTGCAGCTGAAAGGCAAAACATTTCCAAGGGATATTCTGCCAACTGTGTCAAACCCAGAGTTTAATGTCATGATATTTTTTAAAGAATGTAAGTGTACCTGTGGGGGTCCACCTAATGGGTGCTACTCAGTTATGGCTGAGAAAAATAAGTTTGACTGTTGCTTCATTGATTGTCTATTTTTTATAATCAAATCATGAGAAAAAAATTTCACTAGGAAACCACAGGTCTCAACACTAAAAAGTAAAACCCCTGAAGTTGTGTTTACACCTCAGGTACACCCCTGACATTTTTTATTTTCCCTGCTTCTTTGATGGGCTTGTGTGACACAGCCTTCTTCCGTTTATTTAGTATTTCCAAATACAACTGTACGTTGGGCATATTTTGTACTCAGAGGGTAGGTGAGAGATGTTGGTAGCTCTTTGCTTATCCTAAAACAAATCCTTAAGTCTAGGGAGATACAAACATTTCATCTCTCTTCTCAACATAATCAAGTCTGTCTGCAAAAACTAATTCTGAAAAGAATGCCAAAGCAGCCCCAGATCAGAAGGAAATGTGACTGTATTTGCCTAGGGATAATTTTCAGTGTTCAGAAAAGAAGACCTGTTGTGTTCAATATTTGTTAATGCTGGTGAAAGAATTTGACTGAATTCAATAGAATGAATGGAATGAAGTCACTAGAGAGGGTATCAAACTAGTGCATATGGAAATGAATCAAAAGTTGAAGACAGTAAATACCACATTTGTTAAGGTGTCCTGCAGAGAAAGATGATATGCACCCAAAACTGGGTATCAAAATTGATAATTATACACACACAAAGATGCACAGTTACACACTCATATACTGACATATACTAACAGCGTAGGAAGGGCTTACTCCTTATGTCACATGGACATCTCTGCAATATGCAGGGCAAGACTATCAAGAATGTCTAAAAATGACCCAAAACAGGAAGACTCCGAGACTGACTTGGGTTTTCTTTACAGTTAAGTGTTTAGGGCTAGAATGAGAGTTCCAGAAGATCAGGGCATTGCATGGTTTGACTTTCCCAATGAGATTAAAAGAAGAAATATGAAGGTTTACCAATAAACTTTTATAGATGTGGAGTATCAAGGGAAGAGGTGGAGATCAATCTAAAACATCAAAAAATGGGACCAAATTTCACATTACATATTTGTTATTTCACATTACATATGTACATATCTTATTTGCCCACATTACATATTTACATATCTTATTTCACGTTACACATTTATTAGGATGAAATTTTATATTTTATTCTTTTAATTGTTTCAGTTTTTATTAGCACATGTTGGCAGTATACTGGGATGCAACTTTAAAATGAAACAGAAAGAAATCAGTCTCAGAGGTTAAATTGTATAAGCTCAAGCCTGATTTAATCATTTAAAAGCTTATATCCTAATGAAGGAGTTGAACTTTCTTAAAGCTGATTTTCTTCCTCTGTCAAGTGGAGATAATACTAGGGACCCGCTGCTCAGATGAAAGATGAAGAATGGAGATGCTGGTAAGGGTTTTGATAGTGGAATACAGGAAGTGATTTGTGTTTCATTCCGTCACCATTGAGCTTTATGCCACAAATGGTTCTACTATCATCGTCACTCTTATTTTAGTTCATTTTTCTTCATAGAATAATGTTCACCATCTATATGTGTTCTGGGTATTTGTTCTTCAACTTGAAGTGAGAGTTGTTTAAACGATTTTTAAGATCTAGGCTGCTGATTCTTGTCCTTGGGACATTGTTGACCTCAGTACTCTTCAACTTGGAGAACCTTGACTTGCTGACATCCACTCTCCTAAAAAGAAAGCAGCGTGATTTTCAGACTTCTTAAATGCAGTTTTTCGGTTGGCCAATAAATATCGCTATTTAGACTTGAACAAAACATACTCAGTTTTCACACAGATCATACATGATCCAAATTTCATTATATTTGAGAATGGGGAGAAATTTGATTTTCCAACTGCTAGTTCTAGAAGAACCTTATCTGACAATGAATATTTTCTCATTTAGGTTTACCATGCACAGCTTGGTTCAGATGTATTTTGTAACTATCCTTCTTTATTTTATATTTAATTTTGTCTGATTGTTCCTTTTGTTAAATATGTTCTCACAGGTGCAAATTGAGGAACATATAAGTTTTTTTTTTTTTTTATGTTGACTTGGAACTACTAAATCATTTTTCCACACCACACTAAGGCAGGGATCTATTTGGTATTGTATTTTACATTTTTGTCTGTGTGATTGATCCGTCAAGATTTTCAAATGATTAGGGTTAAATGATTACACCTTACACAGGTAACATTAAAGTTCTTCTCTTGGAAATTGTGACTCAGTGACTTGGGAGATGGGACTTGGGGACCAATATTTAAAGAAGCACTCAAGGATATTTATGACACATTAATGTGTTTTCCCTACAGATTTTAAATTATATAAGGTATATATTTTCTTCACTAAGATATCCAAGGTGTTTCGACTATATATAAATAAAATTCTAAATTTGAATATATATGTGTGTGTGTGTGTGTGTGTGTGTGTGTGTATTATTATGGTCCCTGGATCTGGAGGAAAATAAAAATAATCTCAAAAATAATATCTATAATTCCTTTCATCTATACATTCAATTCTTTTTGCATATTACTGGATCTTTTAATAATGTACTAATTCTGAATATATGATCTCCAGTTTAGAATTACAGAAACTGAGTCTTGGGGAGTGAATGTTAAATGTCTCCATATGTACAGTTACAAAGTAGTCAAATTAATCTTTATATTCATGTCTGGCTGACATCCAAGCTCCTGTGACTTTTGAAGTGGATTGGACATAATTCTCCAGCCACTGCTGCCTGCCCTAGTTAACATTCTCCTTGAATGACCTACAAGGTCCTTAACTTCTCACTGGCTTAAGTGCTTCTGATGCTCCTACTTTAAATTTTGCAATATACACATAAATAATTCAAGCAAACAACTTGATATAGTGGAGTGCATTAGGGCTAAAATAACCCTCCCCTTTTTGACTAGTTTAGAAAACCATCATCATTTTCTAGAAATACTCTCTGGGTTTCATGTAGTGCATGGTATATTGAAATTGTTAGCATTTTGCCAGCTCTGCCATTCAAAATAAGGAAAAAAAATTACTCTGGAATCACTGCAAAATCAGCATCATCTAGATTTAATTCGCCTTTCCTCACAAATAATCTTCTTCATGTCAGCTTCATTGCCTTGATTGAAAAAGGACTATCTTTGTCATCAATACATGCTTTATAAAGATTAATAAAATTTATAGTCAAAATTTAAATGTTGCTTACTGATAGGTTAAAATCTATATGAGAATGCTATCTTTAAAAATGATTTTTTAGCCTAATTGAAGTTTCATGAAGTATGATCTAAAAATATGGTGAATGCTAAATTAAAAAAATAATTCGCACTGCCGTTAATCTTCCTAAAATACTTCCCTAACTTTGCACACACTGTCCCGTCACACTTGCCACTTGCTGAAGCAGGTCTGCAAGCCCTTTTCAGTGGATGTCTTTAGCTGTGCTATTGTGGCTGCCTCAATGCCCTGAATTAAGCCAAAATATTTCTCTGTCATGGTCATTTTGTCTTTGTGGAACAGCCAGAAGTCACATCATACCAAATCAGATGAACTAAGTTGGTGAGGACACACTAAGGATTTTTACAAGCCTGCCTTCCTGCTGGATTGCACCCTGCAACAGTATCTACCGTACTGTTTTATCAAACCTCATAAATATACTCATAGGAGAAGACTTGCATAAAGCTTCAGAAATTCTCACAAACAATGGTAAAAGTGCTTTTGAAGTCAGGAGAAGTGTTTTGTGGGATATTAATTGTAACGTATCTTTTAACACATAACATTTTAACTTTTAAACATTCACCATATATTCTGATTTGGTAACATGGGCAGATGAGTAGACTGCCGCCAGAGAGAACAACTGTGGTCTGTCCAATCACTGGTCATAACGCCCTACTCTCTGTTTCAGCAAGCTGTGTAACACTGTTTGCTTCTGCAAACTTCAACACCCCACCCCCCAGGCACAGGTGATGGCTCCACGCCCCTCCCATCTTCAAGAGGCTGACCTACCTTAATTTTTTTAACCCCTTTGCCGAGTGCCTCTATGTAAAAGGATCATTCCTGTAATTTTATCTGGGATGAACTATTTTCTACTTTTTGTCATGTGTACCTCTCATTTGTTTATTTTTTAGTTAGGATTGTTAAACTTTTTCTGTAACAATTTAGGCAGAAATACTTAATGGATTCTGGCCTCAAATTTTCTTTTGATTCCACTCAACTTAAAAGCAGTTATAAACACTATGTAAACAAAGTGGGTAGCTGTGTAACAATATCATTCTATTTAAAAATACAGCAAGTAGGTCAATTTCAGCAAATATATAAAGTCTGCTTGTTCCCAACTTTATACGGCAGATTATAAATTATAGTAGGAATGATTATGTTATTTTTTTATTTCTTTATTGTTAGAGTAATCACTGAGGAAAAAAGTTTCATGAGGATAGCATCATAGGTTACTTGTTCTTCATTGTATTACTTTGAACAGAGTGTATGTTGAATAAATATTTTGATGAGTTGTATTAATTAGTCTAAAACTGAGTTTTGTTTTTACTACTTAGCCTCCAAGATTCTTCAGTATCAAAATAAAGTCCATAAGTATTTATCATACCATAAACTCAGACCTAATGAAATCTTTAGCACTCACACTATTTCCATGCCTATCATAGACTATGATTATGACTTGGTTATTCATGTCTTTTCCATTTATTATTTCAAGCAAAATAGATAATATTTGATACACAGTGTTAGGCAATGGACTAAAATATCCCAATGCTGGACTCAGTTACTTCTATGTGGAGTTCAAAGTCTGATGTTATCTAAAAATATGCGGATTTCACTTACTAATGAAGTGCATATATTTTTCATGATTTGCTTTGCTTTTAGTTCTTTGCCCTCAGATTTAGTGGTTAATTCCTCACTGGTAAATCCCAATTTAATTGAATAATCACAGAATGCATCGCTCCATTTTCTGCATTCTCATTCATATTTTAAATCATAGTCTAGCTCATTTAACCACGATTAAAAGGGTCTTTATCCTTCATGCTGCAGTGATTTTGAGTAGGCCCAAGAAACAAGTTGGACACTTTTTGTATGTGTACCACTAAAGCCAAGTGCAATTGTAGAATACAAAAATAGTTTTTTAAAAAATGTGGCTGACTTCAAAAGAATGTGATTAAGATATATAAAAATATTCTATTTGAGTTTCTAGTGAAGTTGGTTTTTCTATTAGTCAAATATCTTTGCAGTAAATTCCAAAGATTTTGTTAATTTCAAGTTACAATGTTTTCTTCTACTTATATAGTCATTAAAATAAAAAAGGTACTCAAATCTAGGATTTTGACTAGAGTAACAAGTAGAAATATAGCAAGGTAGAAAAATTTAAGAAGAGACAAATTATACAGTACTATCTCCCAAAGGATTAGAGAAACTGTATTGTGCTATCCTCTCTGGTATAGAAATGCATCAACCTATTTATTTCAAATATTATAAGGCTCTCCGCATAGGATCAAAATTGCACTAATTTTTTGATGTAGATGAAGAAATGTTGTAAATCTGCAAACCACAAAAATTTTACAAGTCAAAATTATCCTTTAGAAAAATTATGAAGTAATATTTATATATACAGGCTTCAAATTAATTTTCATTGAAAGCCAGTCAATTCTGCTCAAAATTAGAACCCTGAACCTGTGGAAATTATTTCAGTTTAGAAATTGAAATAGTTTGACAAATAAAAGAGAAAACATGATGTTTCATTTTTTAAAGTGGTAAAGGACATAGGTGGTGGGAGAATGTTTTATTACAGAATTTTTCATGTATAGTCATTAAATTGGTAGAAAAATGAAGAGAAAGATAAGTGCCTTAAAATAAATGGCAGTATTAAGTTTTTTGCTAAGTTTCCTTTATCTAATTTCACTGTTTCCAGAACATATGCTTCACCATAGTTTTATTAGCAAGTGAAGAATACACCACTGTCCAAAATCTGTGGTGTGATTAGTGTTATTGAATGGCAGGTTTTGTGTTACTCATGTTTATTTTATGTCTTCTCAAACCATCTGCTTCCTTTCACTATGTCTTATTCAGATAATGAGAAACAGTGACAGTAAAGGTGTATATTGCCGCTGTAATTCTAGTGTAATTCTTGACATTTTGGATTTGTATTTCTATTTTTCTTTGTGTCACTGGCAAAACTGAATGATATGGTCATTTCTTAGGAAACAAAGTTTAGAAGTAATTTACCGAATTATATGATTCAAATCTACTATTTATTCTGCTCCAGATATTAGACAGAAAATATGCTTTCTCAGATAAAATACTGTCTATTCCCAAAACAATCCAGTGACAAGGACATGAAAATGGTGCAATTTAATAAGGACAGAAAAGAGTTGAAGGAAAAGTCTGATGGCATTGAGAAGTGAAAGTGAATGCATTCACACAACATCTTTAAAAGCTTCAAGCGCTAATTCAATACTCCACAGCAGTCATTCAAACTCAGATTAAAGCTTGGAGCATTAAATGACAAGCAAAAGAAATAGAAAAGCTGCCAGAGAATATTCAGACGACAGCATCTTTATAAACTATGGTATCCATAGAAATGTGAAAGGATTTGCTTTACAGAAATTTTTAATTACCAGATTTGGCTAGAATACAAGACATGAGTGGATAAACAGGAAAGACAGTCTTAGTGACTCTGTAACCACAGTTAGTACATACTGAACCTTAAGCATTTGCTACATAAAGATGTTCCTTAAATCACAATAGGATTGTGTTTTGATATATTCTTTGTTAGTTGAAAATATACTAAATTAAAAACATATTTTATACCAAATTTGCCTGAAGTTATTACTTAGTAACATGGTATACTGTAGATCACTGGATGTTTTATCCTCCCCAAAGGATGGTACTTTTGGTCCAGAGTTGCCAGGAGGTGTAGACCATTCCCTCTGGCCGGCATTGCAATAGACAGTATTATACAGCACAAGAAAACCTGAAGTACAGCTTCCACTAAATATGCAAGGCTTTCATACCATCTTAAAGTTAAAAAAAAAACTGTAAAGTGAACATCTTAAGTCACAAAATTGTACATCCGTTCTCTCATTTGACCTTCCCAACAAATTTGAGCCTGAAACTATTTTACTTTTCCCTTATTTTACATATTAGAAAGCTGAGTTTCAGAAATTTTTAGAATGAACCCACAAACTGAATTGAGTAATTCTAGACCATTGAAAAAAGAACTATTTATAAAGCTGTATGCATGGTTTAATCCAGTGGTTCTGAAAATGTGACACCTAGACCAGCATTATCAGCATCACTTGAGAAGCTTTTAGAAATGCAAACATTTAGTCTTCTCCCAGAAGCACTGAATCTAAAACTGTAGGCACAGCATCCTGCAAACTGTAGCTTAACAAACCACTAGTTCACTCTGAAATTTTTAAACAACAGCTTTAAAGAAATGACCAAGGATGGTGATGTTGCACCATGGGGTTGGTAACACAAGGAGAACCACTGCACTGTCACCTGTAGGCCAGAAAGAGATGGCAGTTATCTAAACAGAAAAAAGCAAGCTGCATGCACTTATCTGAGAGCAGTTGGAGTCTTTGGTAGACACACGTAACTAACCTTCGACAACCTGGCAGATAGGAATACTCTCTTGCTTCCTTGTGCAATTCCTGTTGAGGTAAATTTCATTGGCCAAATCCATGTTACATCAGAGGACAAGAGAGCTAATTGAGAGTTTCGTACATATCAGCCTGTGTAGCACAAGGCAGGTAAAGAGTGGCATGCAGATCTAAAAAATGGAAGAGGTTAAACAAATATTCACAAGGCAATGGACAGGAAACAGTACAGGCACATTTAAAATAATGTAATATAACTGTAGAGCATATTCTCAGTCATTATGGCATGCAACACCTAGGTAGGAGTAAGCAGAGATTACAGCATAACTCTGCAAACCATAATAAGAAATCTGGATTCTAAAAGAGTTTTAGCTTACAAGGATTGTATGATCTTATTCATTGATTTATTTACTGGTTACTTGCTTTTTGTTTTAGTTTAAGAAATACAAAAATTGTTACTGGAGTGGAGGATGAAGAAAGGAATGGATGATGTCATTCAGTAAAATGTTTAAGGATTTTATGCTAATCTGATTGAGGTAAGAAATGAGACTAAGAATAAAGATGGCAAAAAAGTATGACTTGTTGAAGTAAGCAAGTCTAGTTTTAAAATCTACAGGTGAATGAGATGTAGAGAGAAGGAATCTAAGTAAGATACTTCACAAGTTCAGAGCATTGGATGGAGATTCTTATTATTCTGGGTCTATTGATTCCTCATGGTGATTATGTTCATTTTGGTGCTGGCTTTGTTGTGAGTGATGTAAAGTATCTAGCAGTTTGACAGACATAGAGATTTGAAATTTAAAACATAAAACAGAGCAAAATATAGAAGGTAAGAATCAACAGAAAAAGAAACATTTGAAAATAATGTAGGTTGTATATATAAAAAGAAAAAAGTCAACATAAAGTAAACTAAAGAAAATACCAAAAAGGAAGGAAAGAGCCCAGTAAAATACAAAGAGGGAAAAATGTCACGGATGATAACTGTAACAGTAAGAGACACTATTAGTAGTAATGTGTAACCTAAGTCAGGTGTTTAGAACAAACTGTGGTGACCATCTTAAGCACTATGTCTCTTAAACTTTATATCTATATGGTAGAAAGTAATAAAGTAATATTCAGCTCACTTAAAACCCAAGGCATGAGCAATATAAAGATATTTACTAAGATTTTATGGCTGGTAACTTCATAAACTGAAATCCATACCTGGTTGTCTTCTAAATTTGTTAGACCTTCTGTGTATTTTCTAAAATGAGTGAAAATTTGAAAAGTCATGTCATGTAAACCTCAGCTGATAAGATGCCCAAGAAAGAGGAAATTTTGGGAAAGTCTAAAAGCATTGATGCTTCTGCATTGAAGAAGAACACTACTGCTGTATCTGACCTAGGGGACACTATCTAGGATTCCAGGCCATGAATACGGATACAAGAGGATTTTAAGGAGACTTAAAGGTACCAGAAATATGGATGAGATTGGCAGGCAAGCAGACAGCTGCAGCACTATAACCAGGGGTTAAGGAGTCTGGCAATAAACAAATGAAGAGACGACAAAGAATCTATCATGATGTGTAGCTAAAACAAATAGTTACTCATACATTTTGTTGTTATTAAAGTAGAAATGGCAAATGAATCACATATTCAAAGAAAAACATGAAAACATGAGAGTATGCATATATAAGATAAGAATGGGGACAATGACATACTATATTAAAGAAAATGAGCTAGTGGTAGGTTTTATGAATTTTGTGGAAACTGTAGCATATCTATTTTTCTGAAAAAGACAGTAGACTGTTGACCACAGGAGATACTCCCTCCTTTCATCCCTGCCCAGCTAGTCTCAGGTTTTTCAAGATTTTTGAGCCATCTCTGTCGCGGAATAATCTACACAGTCAATAAAATGGTAAAATGTCATAACTCTAATTAGCAATCTTTTCAGAGCAGGGCTTCACCAATCACAGGAAACATCTATGTTTAAAGTGGAATGGTTTCATAGTTGAGTGAGAGAACTGGTTTCACCAATATTAACTCGAGGGTGATCAGACAAAGTCTACTGTAAAACAACTGTCATCTTGGCCAAGACTAGAAAAGAATATAAGTCCTACGGAAGATGGCATAACTGCAGTATTTTAAAAGCTTTTGACACATAGCTGTTAATTGTTGTAGAGAAAGTATCAATATCAAAGATGGTTTTCAATATTGCATAGTCTAGTGTAGGGCACACAGCTACCCAGAGAATATTGAATTAGAAATTAAATGCAACATTAGACCTTCAGGCCAAATTTATAAACATACCAAACTGGAACATTAGTTCTGTGATATGCTGCACAACTGGACATGGAATTCAACATTTTAAACACAAGATGTCTGAGTTATCAGGTTAAGTTTGTATTAAAGTCATACTTTGTAACAAAAACCATGGTACTAAATATATTAACACCTTTGCACTTTGAGAGAGAAAGTTAGGAAACTTCAGAATTCTATCTCTGTCACCACTGATCCTGTGACCATGGCAAATGTCATCAGATTTCTCCCTGTAACTTTGATCAATTGCAAAACAAAGATACCAGTAATAGCAATTTCATAAATACTTCCTTGAAATAAAATAACACGAAGTGCATGAAAACAGTCTGGGCATAAAACTACAGAAAATGGAATAGATTTTTTTACAAAAGTGTACTGGATGAATCCCATGCTTCCAAAATTCTCTTGGGAAGATGACGAAGACATTGACTGGAAGGGGAAAGAATCAAAATGAACTGCCAAGAACATCCTTGCTTCCCCCAGGAGTGCTCAAGGGAGAAATATCTATATATAGCAGAGCCATGTTTAAAAATAACAAAATTCTAATGATTGATTAAAAGAAAAAAATCATCCACAAATGAAGATTTCTTATTACTAGAATTTGACTGCATTGTCATTTGAATAATTCAGATGGTTAAGAGATGGTACCATTGCACTAAAATATTCATACATATCCCAAAGGAGGATGACAGGGCAAAATGATGAATTGAACACGATGCTTTTGCATTAGAGAACCTCATGGCCAGCGTCAAAGTACATGATAACTGAAGTAGATGAGGTTCAGGTTAGGAAATGCAGCAAACAAGATCAGCAAGAGCAGTGAAAACCATCCAACTGGGGAAACTGACCAGTTGGCCTTGTTCTAAGACAGTAACAAGTTCTGGATCAGAGTATGAGAAGTCAGATTCCAGTTACTCAAACTGAGCAGCCTGGTCTAAAAGGAAGCTCAGTTTTCTCAACTGGAGTGCCTTCAATTTCTGACGTGCAACAGAACGACAGCATAACCCTGTGAGGAGTACATCACCTCAAATTGAATACTTAGGGCATCATACCACTGTTGACTCTATGATGACAATATTTTACAAAATCTCTCTTTTTCAATCAGCTTATCACAATAAAACAAGAGTTGTGTAAATTGAAAGAATTCTAGTTGCATAAATTTGAGTTGGAGAGATTCTAAAATTCTCCCTTTACTTGGTGTCTTTTCTTGTCTTATCTTGTATTTTTCCTGGAATAAAACTGCTTTTAACATCAGTGGTAACATTTTATCTTAAATGTAATAAACAGAACCCAAAATGAAACTTCAGAATTTCAAATAAATGATAATGAAGGTGTAGGTAGAGCTATCTAAAATAAAAATTATTTGATCCCACTCCATGACCAAAACTAGAATCCTTCCAAGTTCTGCTTTGTGAATTTCATTTTATAAAAATTGTTTTAAATTCATGGCTTATAAGAGTGTCCCTTACTTTTCCTCCTTGAGTGAAATAGAAAGTATACAAATGAATGCATAACAAATATGGAAGGTACTCTGGCAGTTTTCTATTCGTAGATAATAAAAAGAAAGTAACCTATGGCACGATCTACCTTGGTAAGAGTGGAAGAGTGCCATTAGAGAGTGTGTATGCTGAAATATCCTGTAGGAGGTGTGGTCCTCACGTCTTAAGAATAGGGAAGACACTAAAAATAGTCATGAGACTGAGGTATTTGTGGTTATATTTTTAACATAGCAGCTGTGATGCTAGAACTAAGTATAAAGTGGAGAAAAAGCAATGACTTTTCTTACAATGGTTTCTTTTCATTTTCTGTCCCTCTAGGCTGTAAGAAGGTACCTATTTTTAGTTTAAATCCTGTGGAGGGATCTTTAATGTCAGTCTTCAAAAGGAGGCAGTTTTGCTGAAATATGTCACAGCACTCCTGAAGCATGCCACACAGTTCACTTTTTGTAAACCCAGGCAGTCCTTTCTCTGGAAAGGACACATCACTAATGTAATTCAGATCCCCACGACAATGCACTTTCCCCAGATTTCATCACTCAAACCTTAGGGAAGGTGAGGGCCCAGTCACTCTTTACTTCACCTTCTATCTTTGAAAAGTCATTCAGCTGGCTACAAAAGTCTATGAAAGTGGTAGGATATTCCTTTATGGACTCAGTGCCAAGATGTTAAACAAACAAACAAACAAAAAATTCCTTTGAATCCAGCTGAATTCCTGAGTCCAAGTTGTATATTGTTGCCTGGCATAGAGATCAATGCGATGCTAGATGCTATTTTTTATCATTACCTGGCTCCCTGAGTGTGCACATATTTAGTCAGAAACTTAGCTGGGGAAGTGCTATTAGCACGCTAAAATATCGCTCACCAATTCCACTGGCAAAGCCTCCTCATTTCATTGCTGTAGGGTCATTGATAATGGGAATGCTTGTGTATAATAATAAGTCCTGTGGTCTGAATAATAAATCATTTGGAGGAACAAATGGAGGTCTTTGAAAATTTTGATACGAAATAGAAGAAGAAGGTTCAACACTAAAATGCCAGCCAGGGAGAAGAAAAATTTCCAGAGATATGTGATCGGTGATGGGAAAACTACAAATAGATTATAAAACAAAAATGTGAACTTAAAATCAGTGAAAGATAACTCTACACAATGTGATAGGTTGGTAACAAAATTCTCAACACTAATGGCTGACTCAATGTTAAGAATGGAAGGCTGCTGTTCTGTTTTCATGCTATGAATGAACATGCCAATAGAACTTTCCTGTCCATGACACCTGTACTATTCTCTAAATAATTGCCTTCAAGCGTAGATTTAGAGAACAATAGAAAAAATCAAAATGTACTGTTACAACTGAGCATTTTTATTTACTCAGAAATAGAACCAGAAGAAAATAGTTTTCCTGATTTGGGTAAATTTATTTATTTTTTAAGCTGGAACTGAGTGAAGGGTTTTCACACTGAACTTTTGTTCCTTTTTAACATTGTATTTTGAATCAGAGTTTTGTTAAATCTTTGAGTTGTCCAGACTAGTCTCAATCTTACAATCCTTCCTCAGCATCTCAGAGAGCTGAGATTTGAGATTTTGTGTGTGCCTCACCATGGTTGGCTTTTTGCTTTTTGTTTGTCTTTGTTTTGTTTTGTTTCAATTTTGGATTTCAGTTGAAACTACCTTACAATTTAATTCCAGTCATTTTGATTAAACAGATTATTTTAAGCCTCAATGTGACAGAATGTTCAACTTATTCAATAAAAAACATCGGTGCTAAAACACCCATCATCTCTCTTGGTGGGGTGGATTGTGGTACTGTCTCTGTACATTCTGTACTTTTTAACAAAAATTTCATGCCCAATATGGATAATTATATTTTTACAACATACACTAGACACCTCCTTGGTTTAAGTTCTATTCTGTGTACATCTGTGTATTAAGCAGAAAGACAAAATACTGTCCCATTCCTTCCCTGAGAGACTCAATAGATCTCTGAGGAGAACTCTACACATAAGCAAACTTTTGCATAACAGTAGAAGATTGTAAGGACTTATGTAAAAGTGATGGATAGACAGAGCCTTGCCCTTCTTTAACTGACTTTCCCCATCTGTCATTCAAAGGGTTTGATCTTGTAATGCTGGAGGTATTTTCTAGTTCCAAAAGAGTCTGGATGACTTGTTCTTAACCTTTAGCTCCCTGGAGCTGTCACTTACTCTTTTACAGGTAGGTGGGTTTGCAAGACATCAGTAGAGTCCTGCTGGATTCTCCAGAGTGCAAGAGGACCAGGCTTTGCACTTGAGTCATAAGCTTTTTGTGTGTTCACAACAGTAAATATCCCACCCCAACTGTTGACTTATGTCTGCTTTTTAAACAATTGCAACAGATGGTTTACACTTGAACAGAATGTATAATTAGCTTTGCAATCTAACACTTCATTCTTATTTGCTCTTTCTCAAAGGAGAGAAGCTGTGCCTTCTGCCATGGGGTCTAATCTGTTAGTTTAATCAGGAGCAGTGCTATGCAAGTTCCCAGAAGAGACAGGCTGTGGGAGGATTCTTAATCCCAGCTTTCGGGGACATTAAAAAAAGCCAAGAGGGGGTGTAGAAAGAAATTGCAGCACTTTTTAAAAACCCGTGCTTTATTCTCATTTGCTTTCCAGATGAGGAAAGTTTTATACTTTTTTTCTTTTTCTTTGCTCTACCTTACCTCCCTGAGCCTCAGCTTTTTCACTGGGGTTCAGTGCCAGGAACTCAGGATGATCTGAATACTAAATGGAATAACTCCTGCAAGCACCTAGCACTGATCCTACCACACAGCAGACACTTCAAGGAACTAAAGTAGTTCCTTCACTATGAGAGAATTTAGGAAAATGAAAGAGACATTGCTTTCCATTTGTTATGAACATGAACCTGCTCACTCTGCAAGCATCCTTTCTCAAACCCACTTCTGAAGAGTGTTTGCTTCTCCTCTCCTCAGCTTCTGCTCTGCACACTTCACTTTCTGCTTTTGGGGCCAAGACTGCCCCTCTATAGGCACAAGTTTCTGGATCCCAGCAATCCTTCTCCGTCTTTGTCTTCGATCGTGTTTATTCCCTCATGTAAATATGCTAAATTCCACTCAGATTAGCCTTTTCTGATTCAAGGATCTTAAAATCAGCATGCCACTCTCTCCTGAGTCTTACTGGTAGAAAAAAAACTGTCACCTCACTTGACATTTGTGATCTACTCATAGGAAGTCTGGCATGTGTCCATCTCTAGTTTGTCAGAGAGCTATGCTGTTCCACAGAGCAGAAGAGGTTAGATGGGACACAGGTTTCAACAATGGAGTGTTCTCTACAGAAAAAGAATCTTGATTCTTAACCTTAGTTTCCTAAGGTCATCAAATGAATTTTGAACATAGATACTAGATACTGGAAAAGTTATATAGTGTCAAAGGCCACAGCAAGATTTGATAATTTACCAGACTTTATGTAACCCAGACAGGGAGTGGTTCACTTCTGTGAGGAATTTATAGTCTTGAAGGAAATGCCAACAAATCCCAATCTAAAATAATTTACAAACATAAGAAAAAGATATGAAGTAGTAGAAATAGATTAGATGTCAGTTGGTATGGTCTTAGCAACTCAAGTGTCATTAAAAATGTATTTTTTGAGCTCTTTGCTAAGTAATTCATATACTTAGCTTGAATACAGTGTTCTTATTGCAAAGAGCAATGTATGCTTTCTAGAGCTACTATGTGCTTAATCAGTTTCAGAAATACTTTTTGTTTTTAAGATGGAAAAAAAAGGGTTCTGAACAATCAGGAGAGGTAGGCTAACTTCATCAAAGAAGACTGAGAGACTATTTTAAATGAATCTTCCAGATGTAGATTCCCATCCATTGTCTCTACATGACTTGCCACTGAAGCTAAGAAGGCTTTTCCTGAGGAGAATACCTCATTACACATTCACACCCTGTCTTGGTGAAGGCAAACACAGGTCTTTCATGTGTGAAGAAAACTTGAGGTCTATTCTAAGTGATACTTACGCTTGGTGTAAAAATTTAAGTCTGTTCCAGTTATATTCGTTCATTCAGCAAAGGTCTACTAAGCACCACATCTATGAATTAAATAGGCACTGGGGGTACTATGGAGAACAAGTTAACAATCACCCAGATGCAAATAAGAGGAGTGAGCTAGAATATTTCTGTTCAAAAATTAGGGCTCAGAACAGCAGCTCCATGATAGGCAATATTGAATGTAATTATTTTATTGCATACATCTTTGCATCAGCATTCACATGTATTGTGGTACAGTGATGAATAAAATAAAAACCTTCCTTTGATTTATGAAAATGTGTAATTAAATGCGAAAATTATAAAATATATAAGACATAAAGATAATGTCATCATCCAAAGATAGTGTTAGTATTTGTATGTTTTTAAAATAATTAATTTTCCACATATGTATTTATAATTTATAAAGTATTCTATCTGTTATTTTGTAGATTACTTAAGTAGGTTTTAACATATACATAACACTACACAGATATATGGTAGGTATACATGTATATAAACAGATATGCATTTATACATATATGGAACACATATATAAAGCTAAGTCTTTATATAAAGATTTACACATTTGTGTTTTATATATGCATATTTGTGTATATTGATAAAGACTACTAACATCTAACATAACCAAGAATACCTGAGGGACCCCAGAATCTTCCTGCCCCTTAATAGTAAATATCCTCTCTAGAGGCAACAATTATTTTAGTGTCTATCTTCCTATAAAATTTTTCCAATAATAATTAGAACTCATAAATTAGAATTACATAGTATATACTCTTTCCTGATCACCTTGTTTCATGCAACATATTGCTATTTCTTACTTTAAATTTAACATTAAATAATAAATTCTTTTTTACATTCAACTAAATTCCGTAAAGATGTAACTATCAATGTCCAAGAAATTAATTTTCCAAGTATATCCACTATCTTCATTATGATTCAACAATATTTTCATACTGCAGCAAATAAAATTAGAAACAAAATTTTCACAAGAGTAAATCATTATGAAGACAAAATGTATGATTAAGTACTTGATTCAGCAAACGCAAGTTAATAGTTTTTTTTATAATCATTATTAACTATATTATATGAGAGAAACCTATATATGAAAGCATTCAAGCAAACTGTTACTAGAATAAATAAACCCAGTGTACACACTTTTTCATTCATAAATGAAAAGCTTTGGCATATTTAATATTACCACTGGAGAGAATTGATCGACCAATTCTGTAATAATTTCATGTGTTGTTTATATGGAAATACTTACAAGATATGTGATTCACTAGTTTTTCTCAGGAGTGGGGGCAGAACGAGCTACAAAGGAAAAATATATTAATTAGTTATGACTTCCATTTGCCTCAAGACTTCTTTCAAAATCATTGCAGTCAAATGTGCAGCAAGGAAACTCATAACATAAAAATGTGACTGTGCTATCTGTCTGTCTGGGAGGACTCAACTATACAAGTTAGAAGAAGTTTGAAAGCTATTATGATTGAAAGGATTTTGGCCCAGATGGGACACTGTAGGCAGAAAAGACTTCAGCCTGAATCAGGGAGCTCATGTCTCCCCCACCCCTAGAGATTTACCTGTAACTCTATCTCCCCCCACCCTTTGGAATCTGCCCCTGGCGCCAAACCTGTGCCAATGAAATACCTGTGCATCTCTAATGGCCCTAGGACACTACCCTAAGCTTAGGCTACTTATAACCCCACAGCCACGTGTCCCTGAGAGAGATCCCAAACTTCAGCAGCAGGTGGTGTCAGCATCTCTCTCCGTGTTCTCAGAAGAAAGGCCTCTTTTGTTTTATACTTTACATCTTTTGGAAATAATCCTATCAACGATAAACGTTCCCCACCCATTTAACTTGTTAACTGAAGTCTGATAGATATTTTTTCTCTGTAAAAAGTGTAGTGCAGTTAAGCTATTCTTTTGTTCACTAAAATTGTGGTTTTGATTCCAGAGTTAATCGATAGAATAAAATATCCTCAGACATAGATTTCTGATCTTATCTTTCTCTTCTTTCCTCAAAAACTATTGTATATTGCAAGGGAAAAAATTCCCACTTACGATATGAATAATTGTGTGTCATGTATTTGTTTTGCAGGAGCCCTCTGACACTGCTGCTCCCAGTTCAGCAGCCAAAAGGTTCATAGTCAGGCTTAGTCTTTGGAAACTGGCCCACCGACAAGTGACTGAGCCTTCATGGCTGATCAGCATGTTGACCTCAACGTGGCCTATTCAGTGAGTGACCAAACATTTAGAGATAGTGTAGAAAACATTGCAAATTGGAGGTGCTGACTCCCCTTCTTTGAGATGAGCAGGAGAGGGGGAAGCAGCAATAGTATTTGCTGCCCTTCGTCCTCTCATGTCCCTGTGAGCTTCCTAATACCCTCCTAGTAAGATTACTTTCTCCAGATTGTGGCTGGTGGCTTCTTGTTGCTCACAAATGAAAATCTGATTCAGTGTTTTAGGTCTAAAAGATGAAATAAAATACCATTAGAAGCTCCCACATTTTTGTATACAGTACAAGATACCTCTTCAGTGCTTCAGTTGATGATTAAACACACTGATTGTTAGTGAGTTCCGAAATATTTTTTGACCTTAAAGTTTTGAGTTTTACACAAACACAAAAAGATCAATTTATTCATTATTTTAGCACAATGTAGGCCAAAATTTAATATGTATGGTAGAATGCTCTTAAAAATATATGAAAAATAAGTAGTTTATTTAAAATCTTAAGGAAAACGGTATATGGAAAGTATTGCATAATAAAAATTTATTCGGAGTTATGCATTTCAAGTTGGAAGGATATAAACATTCTTGTCAAGAGCCAAATATTTTATTGTTAAATGGCAAATATTAACAATTTCAAGTATGTCATTATATTAGAGACATGATTAATGTCAACAGAGTTGTAAACCTAAAATGTTCTATAATATGTTCTCCCATAGCCAAATCCTACTATGCTTTCTAGGCCAATTCTATATTAAAAATCAATACTTATTTTATTCTCAGCCAGAATACATACCTGTATGTAATATCCATGCCTTTTAGATCAAATAAATACATTTTTGCATTTGAACAAAAATCACTAAATACAGACAAATATAATTCCTCCAGGAACTAATGTGTATTAGAATATAGTTTGTGTTGTTCCTTAAATATTTTATGGGAAGAAGTTGAGAGGAGGATGTTTCTGCTCATGAAATCTTGACTCAGAGATACAGAAACTATTCAAAATGCTTGCAAGGTAAAGGGGAGAAGCTTGTGTTATGAAGACTCAAAACCCAACACTGACTAAAGCCCAGGTGTATCGTCTTCAACACCCTGCACACATTTCTGTGATATTGCAATTACGATCTTGAGTAGTTTCTTGTTTAACCTCTCTATCCTCATTAGCAACATGGGAATAGAATTAAATTTCTAATTCATATGGTATTTGTAAGGAGTTAATTATTGGACACAGAGTTTTAAATTCAGTGCTTAACACAGCAAATGCTTTGCAGCTGCTGGCTGTTACTAATGATAGCAGACGCATACTTGTCCTTTTGTTAATTATTCATTTTTTCTTACTCTGTGATTTATAAGACAAGAATCAGACTTTCGAGGTGATAAAAGATAGTTGTGGCTTTGATTGGAACTGTCTTCCCAAAACTTTATGTGTGCAGAGGAGGGAAGGTGACTTGCTTATAGGGGCCAGGCACTGACTTGATGGCCAGAGGTGTGGCCCTAGATAGAGATGGTCATTGGAGATTCTGCTAGAAGAGGATATCTTCCTTCCGGCCTTCTCTCTTCTCTCTGCTTTGTAGCTGTGTTGTTTAGAGCAGCTTTCCTCTGCCTATGCCCTTGCACCTTGCCATTTCTGTGTTTAAGTCTGCTGAACATCAAATGTGAACACGAATAAATCTCTCTTCCCTTAAATGGTGGGTGACCCAGTAACCAGAAAGTGACTGAGACAATGGTGAGCAGCTGAATAGTTGAGACCATAATTTCATTTAAATAAGTGGCCTTGTATCTACTTGGAAGAGACAGAATACACAACTTAGTGGTCATTAAAAGTTTCAATGGACACAAGAGAGTTCACATGTTTTTTGAACTGTCAATATTAATATGATCTAAATTAATGAATTATTAATATTTATTGTTTCTGCAAGATAACATCAATCCTAACTTGAAATTATATGAACATTTGCAATTAGGAATTAACATTTTGTTCAGATATGTTAATGATCTTGCAAATATTTCTGTTAGGTTACATAGCCTACAGGTATGAATTAAAATGTAGTATTTCTAAAGAGAATGATCTACTGATAACCAATAGCAACTAAGTAGCATAGTAAGCTACTAACAGAAACTAAGTAGGAACTAATAGGAATTCAGTAGCATGGTAAGCTTCAATCAATCTTTTTAGTGAAATGAAATATGCACATGAGAATTAGAGTCTGGGGGATGCAGGAAAGAGACACATGGATGTCAGCATTGCACATACGACTTCCACTGGACTTTTACTGCACAAAACAATTCAAATGATCAAGTCAAACTGGCTACCTCTTGAATCTTTCTGGAAAAGTTTTACAACTTTTACAAAGATCCTGTAACCAGCACTACGATAAAAAGTATTTGGTAAATATTAATCTAAATAGCAAGGTTCAAGTAGGCAAGGCAATGACAGAAACTTCATATCATTTTGTTTGAATGACCTTCTCCATTAGTCCCTCTAAAACACACCCTCATCTTTCCTTTTTCTGTCCAAATTAAACAGTCTTTGATGAGAATCCGAACATCTTTCGTGTGCCCAACTGGCACAAATAAATAGAAGGGATGCTCTTACTCTATCCCAGAGAGCATACTAGAGTAACTACTTTTTCCCTCCACCGTGTATTCAAGGAGAAGCTCTGTCCTCTCCATTAGTGATTAGGATTATGGAGATCACTGTGTATTCTCATCAAACCCCACAAAACCCAGACAGCCTGCAGAGAGGTTAGCTCTTTTTATATAATAGTAACATTATAGTACCTGTCCATGTTTTCCATTCATAGCAACTGCAGCAAATAGGAATCTTGGTCCTACTCTTACCTATAAATTCTTGAATATTTTTAGAGAACTCAGAAATTCATTTGAACATCACTCAATTCTACTTTTCCACATGATAATTAATTTTGCTCCTGTGCAGAAATCTCCAAAACTTCAGGGGGACACTTTACTTTGTGTTTGCAAGACTTACAGAAGTTTTTCTTTTATTATCTAAATTGTCACATTCCTCTCCCTAGAGATGTTATTTGTAAATCTATAAAACAGAACATATGAACTACTTCCTTTGAAGAATGTATAATAAAAGTTAAAGAAAATACATTTCCCAAAATGTATGAACTATATTACATAGCACATGTCTTTATAAAGTTTATGTGCTAAACACTAACATAATGACACCTTTATTGATTTACAACTTTTCATCTTTTTGTAAAAAGAATAAAACTGAATTCTTTATCTTCTACATTGTCTACATTAATTAGCTTATTATTATCTCTTTCCACACATTAGGTTTTTTTCATACATTAGTGCTTTTGAAATTTTATATCAAAACTATGTACATGATGATACAAATTCTTCAGTCTTATAAGTCAGCTACACATACATAGCCTTCCATACACACACACCCCTGCATATATGTTGGCAAATTGATGATAAATATAGGCTGAATAGCAAATGATACCAATAACAGTGAATAGTTATCTATAAGACCAAATTTATTATTCTCCTTTACAAGTATGGAAACTGACAGCAAGTGAGGTTACATAATCCTTCTAAATTCTGGTTGTTAGTAATCTGGCTAGATTCTAAGTTGACATGCTTTACACAATACATCAATTAATATGTACAGAATAGTATGTCTCCTTGAACACTCTCCAAGAAAAGAATTCAATATTTAGTGTATTGAAACTCAGAAAGTAATGTGTGCTCAATGGTAATTTAAAATTTTCTCATTTTCGTATTTTAGCTTTTAGTTTTTCGTCTTGGAAGTTAAGGACCCAGACCGATTTCAAGTTGTCTTTCCTAGTCTGTTTTATAAACTGAAAAAAATACACAAGAATCTCCAGTGGATTTTATACTGGATTTGCAATGCTAATTGAGTGAACCCATCATTTCACTAAGAAGTCTAACAATTACAGTTACAAACGGCTTGCATTCTATTATTGATACGAGTTGTTTAAAGTCTATGAGTTATTTCAGAGATCTATAGTGACAGATAAATATGATACACCTCCTAAAATGTCTCAAAACACATTTATATGTAACTACCTATTTATATGCGGAATTTTCTCATCTATTACTCATAGTATCTATATTTTCTCATGTCACCTAATTTCTGTATTTCTCTTCAGCCTCAGGGCTGAGGTCTCTTGTGCCTGGGGTATGACCTGAGTACAAAGAAGGACAAGCGGTGCCCACTGTATCTTGCTTGTCATTATTGACCTCAGCCTCATCATAACCTGAAGGGGCCACAACTGTTCTCATTTTATAATTGAGAAAACTGACACTGGCGAGGTTTAGTAACTTGAAAAAGTTACACAGAAAATAAATAATGGAATCAGGATTTCAAAATGGTCTACTTTCATTCCGTCTATTATATTTCTGTGTGCCGCACATTCTCGGGTGTGTACTCTTTCCTCTATTTCATCATGATGCTGTAAGAATTTCAAGGATCGGCCAGAGCTGCCCAGTGAAATGTCTGGAAAGGAAACTGTACTTTATGCAGAACATTCTAAATCTACATTCTACTTTCTTACTGACCTAGTCTGTACATAGTTCTCCCATCAAAATTAAATGATCTTTTTATACAATAGTAACATTAATATCAAACATAGGCTGTTACTAAATGTTATGCATAAAAATGGGTAAAGCAAGTATTAGAGACTTCAGAACACAGAACATATGGAAAATCTAAAGCTACTTTCCATTTTGTGTCACCAATTTTTACAGTGGAAAAAGTAAAACATTTTTCTCTTCCCAAAAAAAGTGTACATCTTGAGTCATGATTCACATTTGTGTGAGAAATAAAGCAGTTGTATTCCTCTATTTTATTCTAGTTTACAAGAGGTAATTTGGTGGGGAACATAATGAGGCACGGTTTCATTTGCCTAACCTTCTGTGAACTCTATAAAAGAGACACCACCGAGGAGTAAATTATACAAAGAAGGCTGAGAAGCATCTGGAAGAAATAATTTTTAGTTTTATTCTAAGAGGAAATGATGTGGAATTCATTCTTGGTACTGAGAAAGGCCAAATAAATCTGGAAAAAATATTCTAAGACATCATGAAAATCATAAAGACTTTCAGAATTTTTCTGCAGAGATTTTAATTCCTTCTTATCTCATGATTCAAATATTCCAAGGCAGAATGGGTCATCTGAACGATCACCTATAAGAATGGAGCTATACAAATTTCATTGTAAGAACAAACTATCACAGATTTTACTTCCACATAAGGCATGGCACAGATAAACATCCCGACAGTGACCCATGCATTGTGTGTGAGCTTCGTGGGCAAAATGAGACGACTTTCATTAAAACTCACTAATTATTTATGGGGCTGTGGACCATTTTGCTAAGTCTCAATCTCATATCTGTTGTGAGAACAACGTAAACAATATTAACATTACTCTTTTAAGAACTGAAGAGCTAGCTGAGTATTGCAGAGCAGGTCTGTCATCTTGGCACTCTGTGCAGCTGAGGCAGGGCGATCTCAAGTTCAAGGCCAGTTGGGCAAATGAGTAGAACCCTGTCCTAAAACAATTTTTAATAAAGGACTGAAAACAAACCTCAGCGCAATGACCCTGGCTCAACCCTAAAATTGAAAACAATAGGAAAAATAAAAATGTTAGACGACACAATTATGTCTTCAGGATGAATCACCATATTCTCTTCCTATTCCCTCATTTGTTTGTTTCAATATACCTTCCTCTGACTTCGTCCCACACATAGTCCAATTTTGCTGATGAAAGTTTATTGATAAGAAAACAATATAACACATCCCTTAATATGATCAGGCTTTGTTGTTTACCAAAAGTCATTAAGTAAATGATGATTCAAGTAAATTAACTGCTGGAGCATCTGGAGCTTTCCTGAGATACTTTCTTTTCTGAGGAATTCCTAAGAAATGGCTCATAGCAATGAAATGTGAACAAACTGATGAAATATAACTTAGTGGAATATTGAGTTTTACTTTCTTCCATTTTCTTTTTATTCCTTCCATTGATTTACATAACTATATAAAAGGATTGTTACTGTGGTGAGAAATATGGTTCCTAGAATTTCTAGTCTCTCCTTTACCCACAAAGTATTTCAAACTGCAAATTAGGACTGATTTTCTGCCTCCTTCTTTTTCCTTTATGTTGTTTTGTAGACATGGCTTGGAAGCTGGTTTTCCTTTGTGTGTTTCACTTTCCCTTGGTCTATTATTTGACTAAGACTGACTAATTTTATTTTAATTTGGTAATGTGGTTTAGAGGACATATAGCTTATTTGTTCATCATGTTAATGATGTATTTTCACAAGTTAACTCTATCTTTAGTACGTAGATGTCAATGAACATTTCTACTTCCTTGAAACTCTGCATTTTCATACTCAATTTTGTCCTTAAGATCTTTCACATCAAGGTCACAGGCAATGACACATAAGCTGCCATCATCCAGTGAGAACCATCAGGCTAATCGTTCTGGGCAATGTTAAGGAGACACATAATAAGTTGAATAATCATATTTCTGTACATTTCTTCAGACTATCTAGACATATGTTACATGAATTTTCAATCATTGCCAGAAATTCTATGAAACTGAAACTCATTTGTTATCTTAAGAGTGGCTAAAGGAGTTTTAATATCACTTGCTGCAACACCAGCTGAATGTGGGGATGTTATGTAATAATTCTAGTATAAAAGCTATTAGGTAGAGAGTCACATGTAGGCTGGATATGATAAAAATAAGTGAACTAACCTTTGTAGCCTCTTATTGAGTTTAGCCTTCAGTTTTTATCTAGCAAAATCTATTTTATTTTCATTTATATCATCTTTGCTTTCAAATCTTCACCTGTGTTTATGCACATTGTATTGCTAGGTAGATTCAAAGTTTAGTTTATAATTATTAAAAGCAATATGCATCCGTATAGTGTAAAAATTTGTAACTATACATATACACATAAGTTATAAAATTAACCAAACTTATTCCACGTAAGGCAACCTGGGAATCAGAAGATCTATAATACTAGCATTTTAGTAATTTCATGTCTCTAGGTTTTTATTTATTATTTGGAAATGGGAAGGGCTTGGGTAGACTATTTGCAAGACCTGTGCTACATTGAAACATTTCTAAAAATGAATCGTATTTCATTGAACTCCTCTGGACTGGATATCCCATGCACATTATAATCTCCATGGCTGGCCAACCAGAAAGACAGCATTACAGTGCTCCTGATTAGAAAAGTAATGGGGCCTCTCCCAAAGTCAAAATCTGATAGATAACAAACTGAGGAAACACAGCCAAATCATGTCTTCAAAGTTCACTTGCTTCTCCTGCACCATGTTTCCAAGATTTAAAAAATTCCCAGATTTGCTTCTATCGTATTGTAGAATAGAAAGCATTTCACTTGTGTTAGGAGAACACAACAAAACTATTTTAATACAGAACTCAAAACCTGGATACGCAATTGAGAAATTCTTAGAAAATATTCTGCTAAAACTTCCCCTTAATCTTCTTGAAGGCAATGCTACCTCCAGTCAACATCGGACTATTAGCATTATAGGTGCAATTTATCTAGCTGTTGAAATCCCTCTTCATCCAGAAATCCAGCCTACAAATGCACCAACTAATGGTATCATCTAGAAGACTCAGTAGAAACCAAATACTGTGCTATTCTCTGGCACACTGCTACTTTTTCTTCCCTCAATTCATCTCCCATCCCACGAAAACATGTAAAAGGAAACTAAAATAGGAAAATATATATGCTTACCCACCTCCAGACATGGCTAGGGCTAACAGAAATTGTGATCAGGCCCAGAATTCTTACTCTTCAGCCATGCTCTGGATTCTTTTTTGGTTTCAGTACAAGAGAACTATTTCACTGGAGAGCTATGAGAAGACTGTGAGATCGCATTTCTTTTCATTGGTCAGCAGCGGGAGCATTGTGAAGGGATCTGCAGTCCCTGTAGTACTCCTGAAAGAAACTGATTATAAGAAACATGAAATACCCTTCTCACCCGCTGCTTTCTCTGCCGCCAGCTCTGAGGTCAGCCCAAACAGACACTCGAGTTCTATGGAAGCTGTGTTCAGTAACAAAAGAACAAGATTGAGGCTGGATAATTCGGGAAAACGAAACTTGGACAAGGTTAAGCTTACCATTTCTGCAAGCAGGCATTCCTTCCAGCACATACACAGAGCCTGGGGACATCTCTGCATTGTGCTCCTAACAAAAAAAGCACTTTGCTTTCAACAAATCAGACACTCATTTTTTCCCATTCTTTGCCCTGATCTTAGTATGAGACTGAAAAAAAAAAAAAAAAAAAAAAAAAAAAAAAAAAAAAAAAAAGAAAGAAAGAAATAAAGAAAGAAAAAAAGGAAAATGGAAAGTGTTACTTATTCACCATCATAGGGATGCCCTTTGTGTGTCTGAATCATTACCTTGTTGAAAAATGCCAGCCCCACTACTTTTTGAGGAAGAAAACACTATCAGTGTCCTTCCCACTTATACCACTATTTCTTTACCAACGCAAAGATTTCGGTGCAATCTTGGCATATGTCGATTTGTTAAATTCAATTCTTACAATAGCTATATCAGATAACTTCCTTTAAAAACACTTCTTCTGAAGCAAAGGTCTCAAATTTACTAAGATATTCATTGTTCTGGGGAAAAACAAACAAACAAACAAAAACCAGAAAACAAAACAAAATAAAGCAAGAAATTCTGCTGGATAATTTCGAAATGTGTGTTGCCAAAGAACCTGGGAGTATAAGATTAACACGTACAGGTGGAAAAAAATAAGTTAAAAACAGTTACCAAAATTACTTCCAGTGAGCATACATTATTCCAAACTTACCTCGTGTGAACATCTACAGTTCCAAACTCTTGCCAAGCTTCTCTAAGCATTTTGTCTTTAGTACTGGAAAGAACTTGTCACCAGGGAAGTATTGGAGGATTAGTTCAGATGTTAAAGTTTTCTTTTCTGGTACAATAATAAGGAACATGAGTTATAGGGAACCTGATTATGAGCATACGAAGAATCCAGGGAAAAATTCAGTGTGTGACTTGAGAGAGATATAAATATGAGAGGTAAGGGCAGAGGAAACTTTGAATAAAGTACTGTCTTTGGAATCTGGCCGTACAGGCCACAGTGGCACATCCATCTGATAGAACACTCCTCAGCAGTCAGAAGGAACAAGCCTCAGGGAAGTGTACCAAGCCCTTGAATTTCTCCTGCTGAGAGAAAAATGGTTAATCTTAAAAACCTACATGTCACATCATTCCACTTATATAATATTCTGAAAAAAATTTACAGAGAAGGGAGGGCATACTGGTGGCTCCTGGGGCTAGTGAGCAAGGAGAGGGTGTGGCAAGGAACGTTTGGAAGTTCCTTGGGATGAGATGACAATTCCTCACCTTAACTGTAGAGATTTATGTAGGTGATAAAATCAGATAGGACTCTACACAGAGGCATACCAAAATGAAACAAACAAACAAAAATCAGTGCGCTCAAAAACCAACATAATCTAATTAGGACCAAGTTAATTGTATTGTGCCAGTATTGTAGCACAGTATTTGCTGGGATCATGTACAATAATATACCAGGTGTTACCATGGGGGGAAAGTGGAGTGAGGAGTACAGGGAAGCATTCTGCATTTGTTTTGTAATCTCTTGTGAGTTAATGACAACTTCAAAAACAAACAAAAAAAATTTAGAAGCCATTTCTGAGAGCCTGCAAGGATTAATCTGCTCCTTCATTTAGTAAGCAAGGTTTTGTTGGCAACCAATCTGCATTTCTGTGATATACAGAAGACGTCATGAGAACACATTGTAACCCTAAGATAGTGACACCAGTGGACATGGGAACACAAACTGGAACCGTGCATCGTAATACAGCTCAGTGCACAAGTTTCACCCCTGACACATGATATTCTGACCATCACTTCCTGAGGAATTAAGGAAAAGTCAACAGAAATGTGCTCTTTGTTTTTGTAAGATGGACAGAAGTTATAATGTTCCTGTAATAAGGATCATGATTCCTTTTTCTTATTGTATAGATGACTATACATTTCCTTGAGAAAGCTCAGCAGCCCTTTAGAGACTCAGTCATGTATAGTAAGCTGCCCACCAATCGCCTGATACCAACACTGGTAACTGGAGAAACGAAAAGTGTTTCAGTAAAATGTGTTTTATTTTGTCATAATGACATTTTGACCACTTTCCTTCATTATCATTTGGCTAAATAAGATACACTCCCATCCTTCATGTATCCCCTGTACATGTGGGATGAAACCCTTCAGTGACTTGAAGTTCTTTTTGGATCTCTTTCTTAAACTTATCTGTATGTTTTCTGCTGAATTACAGATGTTATCTTTATCTTCAAAATCTGAGTAATAACAAGACCACAGTGGATTTCCCAAAGGTATATTTGCAGTGATTTTCTGTTGGCTCAGAAAGACAAAGTCATTCAGATATCACACTAAAACGTAAAATGAGATAAATCTTACGTAATTCTTAGTGCCAAAACATAAAGTGATGGCCATGAGCACACACACACACACACACACACACACACACACACACACTTGTACACACAGAAGAACTTAATTGATTAAAGACTTCAGAAAAACTAACAAAGGGAATGGATCCATCCAGTCATTCATTAATTTTCCACTTTTTCCACATGTATTATGTTCATTTTTAGCTTGTCCCAAAGCAAACTTGAAAAAAATTAAGGCTCCAAAGTGCTCATAGCTAAATAAAACAAACAAACAAAAAACCATTCATTTCTAGGTCAAAAAATACAGCAAAAAGGATTTTAGGAATTTAATCATTTATCTTCTGCCCTGAGGAAACTCTTTCCCAATGGTGGTATGAGGTGTGTACTTTTACATGTTTGATAAGTAAAAAATAATGTGATGTTAATAATGAGCACAGTGTCATTCATGCAGTTACGATGGATAAAGGTTTTTGAAAACCAATTTCCCACAACTTTCTTGTCACTACAGATTCCATTTTCTATAGTCATTCAGGATCTCACCTCAGGATATCCTGTGAGAAGTGGGTTGAAAGAATAATAGTTATAGAAAATATACATTTTGTTCTGGCCATGCCAATAATTAACTGTGTGACCTTAGGCATATTAGTTCTCTTTTCTTGGTCTTATCTCTTTTATCTGTAATATAGGCAAGCTAGACTGCTATGACTAAGAAGTGAATTGCAAATAAATCTAATATTCATTGCCTATAGAAAATTTTCAACAAAGCTGAAAGACTGCTTTTTTGTCTTTGGAATAAAATTTAAAATATCTATGGTCCTTGTGGACATCATTATGTGTTCATTTCTTAATTATGGGGACAAAGTACGCTTTCTTCTGTCCTTTTGGTTATCAACATTGTGTCCTCAATGCCTTTGGAACCCTTTGTCACTGGTGCTGTATTGCACACATTTCCTCAAATTTCTTGGCCAAATGCTCTCTTGATCTTCTCTTTCTGGGACAGTATGACACAATCATCAAAGACAAATTTGTCTCCTGTTTACAGAACATTTGCATGGCTCTTTATTTCAGGAATAAACTTTAAAATGGTTAGGAGACTAGAACAGAGTGGAGAATTTTCAGAGTGAACTCAGAGCTGATAAAAGACTTTTTACACTGATGCAGCTAATTCAGAATTCTCAGGCTTTTTCTCCAGAATGCAGGGTGGCCTGGCAGAAGAGTGTGGAGGCTGTGTCCGATTTTATTTTTCACTGAGTGTAAAATTGTGTGCATCTCGGGGCTCTCAGCTTCCACAAGTATATTGTAAAAGTATTTGAATAAAACAAAAGTCATTAGACCTGTTATACAAGCTTGAAGTTTTAGGCACATTAAACTATTCATTTGAATATAAGCGCACACACACATATACTTACTTAATATGCATAAGAATGAAAAGAACAAATTTATGATTAAAGAAAGGATGCAACACTGAAAACCACTGAATATCTTTCTGTTATCAAATCTGTTCAAAATCATTTATATGAATGTGCATACATATCCAATCCTTTGCATGCACAAACACTGACAGTCAAGTTGTTTCAAAAGATTTCTAAATCAATTTTGAAATTACTTTTACAAAAAAATTCACAAAGGCACAAAAGTAATCTCTGAAAGTTACATTTTCAGGCAATGTCATTAGTGTCAGTAGATGTTTACAAAGTGCTTTAATAATGCACTGATTTATATTCTCAGTAGCAGAGTACTTCCTTGTATCAGCTAGAAATTAAGATCAACGTATTTTTCACCTTAGTTTATAACAGTCCTGGTAAGTACTTCATAATCACTATTAGTCTGATTTGCAGAAAAGTAGAAAAAAAATCTTTAAATGCCTGTCAAGCTTTTGAATTGTTTTGTGAATTCACATCAATATAATTGAAACATTTTTTGCTAGTAAATATTTTAAATGTAATGGATCTTAGTTATGGCAAATATACTTTTTAAATCTACATTTGTCTATGTCCCCTTCAGATATTATAACAATTTGATGTTTAACATCTGTATAGGTACACAGAATTCAATTGCCAGCTTTCTAGATATAATGCTGATGCAAAATGTCCTTAGAAGTACCACTGTGCTCCGTATTACTTTATTCCAGTCCAGTTGTGAAGGCACTGACTGAGCTGGCTTTCTTTAAACATCTGAGAGACACAAGCACTTTAAATGTTCACACCAGCCATAGACCCTGCTTAGAGCTCTTGTTGAAGGCATCTGCCCCTACACAGCTCATCAGTTTGTTCAGAGCTTGGCTAAAAAGCCACATTTTTCAATGCTTGGTACCTTATAGGACTATTAGTATCCCAGCCTGGTATATTTTGTCTAACATCACAATACAAAATCTTTTATTGTTTAGATTCTTTTCCACATCACTGATTACATCCTGAGAAAATAGATGTTTTATTTATTTAATATTCTTGCATTTTACTTTTGGTTATCCACCATACATGGAACTTCATATTTTCATATCTAAA